TAATTTCTCAAGTTTTCCATTTTGAAATCTGCACTACTTTTCTGTACACAGCTTCTATTCACCTAATTCTATTGACGAAGCTATAAAGTATTTAGATTGGGTTTGAGAAATTCCAGAAACTACTTCAGGAAAAAAAAACCGATCAGAATGTAAGAAAGGATACATCAAGAAGGAATCCGAATCAAGTAGGTGAAACATAGAATTCAGAGTGGGGTCAGAATATTCACATTTTTATTTTCTAGTACAGAAAGCAGAGGAGCAAAATTACTGCTTTGGAACTTGAGGGACAGCAGCAACAATGTACTTCGGATCGGTCTTTCTTTGGAATAATTAGCCTGCTTGTTCAGCCAGCATTTGCTCTCCGAATGCACAAAATACTATAAACCAAGTGATGCCCTTTAAACTAATGTGTTTTTTTGTCACTGTACATGAAGATCTTGCTTTCCAGAACATTTTGAATGCTTCATTATTTAAAAAATCAAATCCAATCAAGAAGCTAAGAAATAAAATTTGTACTGTTCCATTTCCTTAATTGATGAAGACTTACAAGTTAATATCAAAAGAGCAGCCCTTTATTTGTAAGGGGTTCGTATAGCTATCACAGTCATAATCAGACTGGCTTTCTTTCTGAAAGTAGACTTTCAATGACCTATCCAAAGATTTTATTTTAGTACAAACAGTGAAAATAACCGAAGTATTAAAAGAAAGATGAATCATGATTGACAGAGGAGAAAATCTAATTACTTGGAAAGTATACTTTGAGGCACTGGAATTGAAAATAATAACATCTTAGTGACTGAGATGGACACATTGATGTTTTAGAACCATGCTTTGCTGGGATATTTTATGCTTTGTTTTTCAGTGACATCAGGTCCTTTGGCTTGGAGCTTGAAAGCAGATGCATTAAACTGTAGCCTGTGCTTACCTTACTATTGTATAACAGTGGTTTAATCTATCTGCCTATAAAGCCCTTACATGAAATGAAGTGGGTCATTAATCTGTTCAGTCCTCTTTTTCACATTCAGAGCACTTATTGTTAAGAATCCTTGATTCAGGGGCGCCTGGGTGGCGCAGTCGGTTAAGTGTCCGACTTCAGCCGGGTCACGACTCGCGGTCCCTGAGTTCGAGCCCCGCGTCAGGCTCTGGGCTGATGGCTCAGAGCCTGGAGCCTGTTTCCGATTCTGTGTCTCCCTCTCTCTCTGCCCCTCCCCCGTTCATGCTCTGTCTCTCTCTGTCCCAAAAACAAATAAATGTTGAAAAAAAAAAATTTTTTTTAAAAGAATCCTTGATTCATCTTCCTTTCCCTTTGCTATCCTTCCCAGATGAAGGCCAGTAAAGGCCAGGGTTGTTCTCCAGCTGACAGGGGCCTGCTCGGTTCCTCTGAGAAGTCAGGTGTACTGCCTCTACAAGGGGTATGCATACAACCAAATCAAGGCCATTACGGCACAGTTGTGTGAGACCTAGTCTGGCCTGACCTGGCCTGCCCACGCTAGGTACCAGGAAAACGATGAAAACAACAGTTTTGTGTGTTGGCAATAGCAGTCTGCCATAGTTCAGGTTGCTGTAGTCATTTTCTATTGTGTTTTTTTTAATTCTTTTAAATAAAAGAATAGAAATATCTGCACCAAGAAAGCAATATGATCAGCATGACCAGGTACAAATGAAAGGTTTTAGTATACCACTTCCCACACCACCATCAACTCCCTTGCTGCTGTAAGTACTGTCAGGGTTCTCTGGTATGTTCTGTGCCACCTACCCACCGCCAGACCCCACCCTGACAAGTTTTTATATCCATGTGTTGGTATGTATATGGTATGTCTTGCTCATTTTCATGAGAAAGATCTTAAGGATCTTTTTCTTTCATATCTGCACCCACTCACCTAATTCTTTTTAAAGACTACGTATGTACCATTGCCATAGTGATAGAAACGTCCCTTAATACAGAGCATTTTTGCTATTTCTCCTGTTTTGCTATTACAAATAAAGATCTAACGAACATTCTGGAAGATACACATTAATATGGTTTCATAAGTATATCTGCAGGCTAAATTTCTGGCAGTGCAATTGCTGGGACAAATACAGGTCTATTTAAAATCCTAAGAAATGTATTAAATTGTTCTTCAGAAAATAACATCGATTTGAATTTCCACCAACACTCTTGCAACCACTTGGTATTATCAGACATTTAACTTTTCCCAACCTGATAAATGAGAAATGATATCTTACTCTTCCTTTGTATGCGCTAATCTTAGGTGCTTTACTTTAATTTGGTAATTATTTCTATTTATAAAAATGTGGAACACTTTGTACATCTGCCTGTCATTTCACACGTAGGCATGGCTAATCTTCTCTAATATTCCAAGTTGATTCTGTACATAGTGTTTGTGTGAGGCTCATGAGATTTCTTTAACTGGGGCCAATTTTTTAAGGCAACAAAGGAGAAAATGAGAAGAGAGCTGAGGTGAAAGGAAGGGAGGCCAGTGTGGGTAGGGAAGAACGCCACCACCTAGCATGCCCTGCGGATCCCGGCTTTGATTACCAATCCCTAGCACACTGTGGCCATGAAGAGCACAATTTCTGGAATAAGACCACGTGGATTTGAATTCCCTGCCATTTACTAATCATGCAAATTTAGGAAATTTACATAAATTCTCTAAGCCTCCATTTCCTCATTTGTAAGTCGGAGATGGTAATAGCACATATATCTTGAAGTTGCTGTATCATATACACATACACACAGACTGCCGGTCATTACTGTGACTGAATGTCTCTGCCAGTCCAGGTCAGGAGGGGACTCCCTCTTCCCTGGTCCTTTCTCAGTGATCCTCTTTAATTGAGGACTCTGCCTTTTATTTACATTTTGCATTTCTGTAGAGCTATTTGAAACAATTAGCATGCATCTGGCCAGGGAAAAAAATTATGGCATAAAAAACTATTTAAAAAAAATTTTTTAAGAAATGATCTGCTTTATCCATTCAGAGAGGTAAAAAGTATTAGAGGAAGCCCAGAATTTCATATCGTTCATTTATTCAATTACACTGTTCACTAATAAATGATGCTTAGAGAAAAAAACAAGACAGATTCAGTCTTTTTTTTTTCCATTTTTTAATTTTTTTTTTTAGATTCAGTCTTAAGATATATTTGCAAATTGATGTGTATTTAAGCAAAGCTTCAAAACTTATGTTGTTCTATCAGCAAATTGGATCTTTATTTTCTTTTTCCTAAAAGATTCCATAACTTTAGATTCCAAACTAAGCCAAAGTTTGGACAATGTTAAAAACTAGTGGAAAGAAGCTGAAAAATGTACATTTGTAATATTAAATTATCTCCAATAAGTGGGTTTTTTTTTTTTTGTTTAATATTAAAGCAATCATGCTAAGGTAGCAAGAAAAAACCTATAGAAAGCCTATTTGAGAGCAGTTTATAAAATATTACTTATTAGAAATGCCAATTTATCAGAAATGTACTAGAAGTTTTTTCATTCCTATGATTTGTATTTCTCTTTCAAATAAATATTAATGTGATATTTACTGATTTGGGAGATTCTATTT